GGACTCCTTTGCAACCCAAGAGCACTTCTTAGAGTTATATAAAAATATTAAAATCTTGGTATATTCTCTCATGCATAATCTTCCAATTACTCACTTTGTTCTGACCATCTCTGTTCTTCGCCATTATGTCACCAATGGTGAATTTGATCAAGGAAATATGATGCAACAAGGCTTCATCCTTCTAATTCAATAGATTCATTATATTTCCATCCATCACTTTTTCTCTTCAAAGTTATCCACAAAAATCTTAGAAAATACCACTTTGTCAAAATTCAAAGCTCCATGGCTAGCCAATTATAAAGGTCTAATCTCATAAAGCATTTTGCCAGATTTAATGATATCTTCATACTTTTTACTGATTAAGATACCATGCTAATGGTTTTTGTAAAAAAGGTGAAGGGTTCCACCCGAAAATGATTTTCTTGTATATTGGCTAACACCATCTATAAATCATTCATGCAATCCATCACAAAGGCTGCCAAAGATCTCTCATACCATTCTCAGTATAAGCAAAAAATGGTCTCTCTTCATGACTACATCACTAGATTCACTTTGTTGACCCATGAGGTCATCAATTTACATCCCTCCATCATAAAGATGCAAGTGAAGAAATCCTCCATTGAAGAAATCCTATAGTAGATCTACGAAGATCGGCGACTTGTCCTTCCATTGAAGATATCCTTTCTTCCACTGTCGTTTTGATTTGATTCATCTCTCCTTCAAGTCTTTCTTCTAGCGCATCCACTTTCTTGGTCGCCATCTCGATACGAACTTTTGTAAATCCAAAAATTCCGGTTTTGGATTACAAAAACAGCACTCCGTCCGTTTCCGATCAAAAAATTAGCCGCTGAAATTTGAAAAAACAGCCCACAAACGTTGCTCTGATACCAATTTGATAGGAAATACTTGAATTCGCAAGTAACCCTATGGGAATACTTGAGTTCTCAAGTAAACCTATCACTAATTGGAGAAAAACAGCAAGAATAAAAAAAAATCTAGGCAAAATCAGCCCCAAAATAATAAATTGCAACAAACGAAAGGAAACAAATTAACCCAACAAGAAAGCAAGATGTGAAATCTGAGAAAAACTTGCTTACCAGAGCTTTTGACAGAAGCTTTTTACGGCTTCTTGCTGAAAGGAAAAACTTGGAAATGTAAAAGCAGAACAGAGAATTGCTTTGTTTAATGGCTTGTCATCTAATACATGCCTAAGGGCTTATTTAAAGAAAAAATGTGGCTATAGAATAGGCCACACACTACAAAAGAAACTAAAGAAAACAAAACTAGAATCAATCTAATAAAATCTGGAATAAATCCTAACACAAGATGCAAGTGATCCTCTATTCGAGAGGAGGATCATTCTCTCCCACTCTCTAGACGCTAGGTCTAGAGCCCTCAAACTCCAAGAGACTCCAAGAGAAACTTCAATGTAAGCATGTCTCTCCCTTGCCCCTTACCTCTCCTATTTATTAAGCTCCCACTGCCCAAGCCCTTCTTAAAAAAAAACAATTTTCAAATAAATTTAAACTCATTGGGATCCACATATAGGCAGCAAGCCTATTTAGGCATGAAGGGATGCGGTTTTTAACCGCCTCCTATAGAAAATTGTTGGACCATGTGGGCTGGCTAAGGCGGTTCCTTTTGAACCGCCTCAATAGGCAGTTCTTGTTGAACCGCCGTATCAGGACCATCCTTATTTTATTATTTAATTGCTCAATTTATTAAAACAATAACATGTCTTTTATTATATATTATCATGATGTTCATTATAAAATTCAATGTTACATAATACAAAGAATGTAAATGATATGATTATATGATTGATATAGAATGTTTGCATGTGCTTGTTAAAAGATAGAGCTCACCCCCTTATGGTATTGGATGAAGATGTTGTATCAGTGCACGTTAAAAGGAAAATGTTATGGAAAAGGAAAAGAAAATAGAAATGTTAAAGGAGAACTTTCATAGGTACTAAATTAGACGATGACTCATGTGATGGTTGCATTATATATGAAAATGAGAAATATATCTACATATATGATGAATGGAGATTAAATATGATGAATATGATATAATATGCATTCATGATTTATACATAATACTACGCATTCAAAGTATTGAGGAAATAAAAGATATAATTAAATGAAATAATATTTATGATATGAAATGAAAAGAAGCAAGTGTTATAAGCATATTACTTCTAGTGCTTTGAGTTACTATAATTTATAAGCATGTATTACTCGCTAAGCTTTGGCTTACTGTTGTTGCTCTAAATTTTTTTTCAGGTAAGTTTAATATAATAAAATGAGTAGAAGAAATGGAAATGTATATTGTAGACGTGAGGCACCAGAATTAAGATATTTAAGTTATTTTATACCAGTTTATATTTTTTGATGTTTAGTGGCTCTTTCAAGTTTATTGAGATAATTTTAAAAAGAATTAGAAATTTGATCTACCATCCGACCGTCTGTTATCGCACCGTTAATTCAAGCCCCTGGACCGGGTCGTGACAAAAGTGGTATCATAGCCCAAGGAATATCCTAGGAATTCGAATTGTAATGAAAGAGCCATAGGAATAATTTATAAACTTATTTAAGAATTTACATATTAAATTAGATACGATAATTAATTAATTCATAAATGTATCAAGTATGTGAATAATCAAGAGGATGTAACGATAGACATATGAAAGGAGAAGACTTAACACCTGAGGTGACTGTGAACACCAATACATTTGCCACATATTTTGAATTTTATTAGTGTGAAACTCTTTAAGTAAAAGAAAGCTAACTCTTAAACATCGATGATCTTTTTGGTGTAATGGCTAGAACTTCTGTAAGAAACTCCGAAGCCAAGCGTTCTCATCCTAGTGTTATTATGGGATAGACGACCTACTGGAAAGTTACAGTAAAGGGATAAAACTGTGAGGTTCTTAAGTCGAAGCGAACAATGTCTCTATAGTTAAGAATTTGGATTGTTACAATTGATGACTCTATAAATAATATGTGATAAAAGTTAAATTCATTTAGATGCTTCTGTTATTATTAAAATGTAATTGTTAGTGAATTTTTATGTGAAACATACAAATGATGAGAAATAATTAAAAGTGAAGAATGAATGTTACATTATTTCTATGACACTCTATGTTATTGGTAATGGGTATCGTGGGGTGTTACAGAAGAGGAGCCAAGTCCAAAAAGTTTGATGAGAGTAGGGTAAGACTTTCAATTAATAATTCTTTTTAACTTCTACTTAGATTTAATGAATTTCTAATTTATGATTTTTTTGTTTGTAATGTTAGAAATGAAATATTTAATGATTACTAAGAAGCATTACCTATTAAGTGGCTTGCACTCTATTATTTGGTGGTTTAACTAGTACGACTGATGTGAACACATATAGGGGTGAAAAGAATAATTGTGTCGATGACGATGAAGTAGATTATAAATGTGTATATTCATATGAATCTAAAGATTTTTATGAATTTGATTTTGAGTTCAAAGAAGGTGAAGATAAGGTTGATAATTGCATTGAGTATGTAGGAGTTCAATTAAAAGGGAAACAAATCATTGAATATATTGATGAATATTCTACTACCATTTTAAAGGGAAAAGAGTGTGATATTGATTGCGTGAACTCAGGTGATGATGTTAACATACATGATGGTGATGAAGATGAGATTTGAAAATGGCCGGCCTTCAACCCCATGCAAGTTCATCAAATCATTATTTTGAAATTGGTATTCTTTTTAATAGTAAAGAGGAGTTTAAAGAAAGAGTTAAGAAATGATCAATTTTGATGGGAAAATCAATTAAATTTGTAAAGAATAATAAAAGAAAAATGTAAGGTTATTTGCAGGAGGTCAAATTATACTCTTAGTATCTACATCTCAAAACATGAAGACAATGATTCATGGCTGATCAAAGCTTTACAAGAACATACATGTACATGAAATTATCAAAATAAGACTTTAAGTTCTACAATAATTGTGATAAGGTATTTCAACAAAATCAAAGTTAATCCCAAAATAAAATGCAAGTATTTAGAAAATAAGTAATAGATGACTTGCGACCGCATGTATCAAATATTTAAGCTAAAAATTGATTAAGAAATCCCATCAATCGATCTACATAAACGAGGAAGTCGTCTATTTGATACATGTGGTCGCAAGTCATCTATTACTTCTTTTCTAAATACTTTCATTTTATTTTGGCATCAACAAAATTTTGCTTTCATTTCAGATAAGCAAAAAGGCTTGATTCAAGCTCTTGAGAATCTTCTACCTAATGTGACCAACAGATTTGTGTTAGACATTTGCATCAAATTTTTAAATTGAGATGATTCAGCCGTAATATATATATATATATAATAATTCATTTTCTTTGGTATTTTATTATTGAAAGATATTGTATAACTCTAATTGTTATTATAAAAAGATAAAATATATCATTTTTTCAATTTAGATTTTGAGGTGTGACACTTTATCAACTCTCCTGGATCATGAATTAAGTAAGCCCTTATATAGACCGCGTTATCCTAGTGAAGCTTTAGGTTGAAAATCTTTTAGCTAGTCTTTGGTGATTTTGATTGAGCTTCAAAGATCTTGGCAAGTCCTCAATGATTTTGACGAATATGTTGCACTCTTGAATTGAATCTTTACTATGTGCTTAAGAAGATTTTAACCCTCATTAATTTTAATCATATTCAACCCCTTTTGAACCAAATCAAAATAAGTTGAAATTCTATTACATTCCTATATATATATATATATATATATATATTGCTACCATACATAATAATTAATTAGTAGATTATTAAAGTAATTAAAACAAAGAAATGCTATTTAATAATTTAAAAATTAATAAGATCAGTTTATCAAAATTAATATGTTTTTAGTGAAGTAGTATTAGTTATTAAGATTAATTTAAAGTTTTATATTATCTGAATAATGTTCACTAATACTATATATAAGTACGGTGCCTTAATTCCCAAGTCCCGGTAGACCAAAATTTCTGAAGCCATCAACGCGTAAAGAGGCGAAGATTTCGCGACGGAGAGCGAGAGAAGCATCCACGGGACGGGAGCGGCGGCGTCTGAATTCCCATTCCAATTTCCAAACCTAATCCTTTGGTTTCCCAACTTCATCAAATTCATCAAACATGCCGGCGACGGCAGGGCGAGTTCGCATGCCAGCGAACAACCGCGTTCACAGCAGCGCGGCTCTTCAGACTCACGGGATCTGGCAAAGCGCCATCGGCTACGATCCGTACGCTCCCACAAATAACAGCGAAAAGGACGCGAAGCCCTCGGCCGATCGATCGTCCGTTGGTGACGGTGGAGACGGAGGCGAGAACGCTTACGTGAGCTTCCAAGGCCTGCTCGCCCTTGCGCGGATAACTGGAACCAGCGCCGATGACACCCGTGGAGCCTGCAAGAAGTGTGGCAGGGTCGGCCATCTTACTTTCCAGTGTCGCAATTTCCTCAGCCTCAAAGCGGGGAGGGAGAAGGATGAAGCGGCGGCTGACGAGGCTGCGGCTTTATTCCATGAGTTGAAGAAGGGTAGTGGGAGGAAGGAAGAAGACAGTGAGGAAGAGGAGGATGAGGAAGAGGAGAGTTCGGATTCAGATTTGGATTCGGAGATTGAGAAGATACTCGCTGCTAGGTCTGGAAAGAAAGGGAAAAAGGAATCCGAGAGGAGGGGGCGGTCAAAGAAGAGGAGTGGTAAAAGATCAAGACGTGCTGAAGATGAAGAAGAAGAGGAGGAGGAGGACAAGGAGGAGAGGAGAAAGGAGAAGAGAAGGAAAAGGAAGGAGAAGAGGAGGCATGGGAGTTCTGATGATGAGGATGAAGAAGTGGGCAGGCATAGGAAGAGTAGGAAGGAGACTAAGAGGCCGAGGAGCCACAAAAGGAGGGATGTTTCTGATGACGATTCCGATGATGAGTCTGATGGCCAAGATCGTCGCAAACGGAGAAATAAAAGGAAGGTTGATCATTCTAGTCATTCTGATGCTATGGTTGCTGCTAGGCATCACAGGCGAAGAAGAGAGAGAAGAAGAGAGAGGAGGAGAGCTTCCTCAAGCAGCTCTGATACTAGTGGTTCAGGGTCTGATGTGGATGATATTGAAAAGAAGAGATCTGAGAGGAGGAGCAGAAGGACTAGGAAGGATTAATGTCTCTCACAAATATGGTTTGATTGCTGCTCTGTTGAGACATTTGCTGTTCGTAGTTTGGTTGCGGTTTTCTTCTCTTATGCGGTTTTTTTTTTTTTTAATGAAAACTGCTACAACATTTGGTATATAGGTTTCTGATTGTGGTATATGTATTTATAGTTTTATCTGTCATGTTGAATGATCATCTTGTTACCGGTTTTTCTCTGCCAATTTCATCCTTTGTTTTAACGTCTTGTTCTACGTAATGATTAAATTGTAGTTTCTTCAGCTTGGTAGCTTTTATGCATTTTTATTTTCATTGTAAGAGAGTACCACATTTCATGATTTAGTTTTACTGATGATATTTTTCTTTTTGATAAGACTAGAGAGGGAGTTGAAGGAAAATTTGAATTATGGGAGTCAACCTTAGAGTCTTTGAGTAGATCTAATATCGAATATATAGAGTGTAATTTTAATAGTAATAGATCTAGGGGTGGGATTATGACTTTTGGCGTTCAAGTCATTGAAAGAGTACATGTTTAGATATCTCAAGTCTATTGTTCAAAGTGATGGTGAAATAGATAGGGATATTATTAGTGGTATTCAAGTTGGATGATTGAAATGGAGGAATGCATTAGGCTTGTTATATGGAGAAAATTCTATAAAATGGTGCTGAGAGCTGCAATTCTTTATGGCATAGAATGTTGGCCATTAAAAAAGAAGCATACAATTAAGTTAGTATTGTGGAGATGATGATGCTCAGGTGGATGAGTGGCTTTACACTTAGAGATAGAATGAGAAACGAGTATATACGTGAAAAAATTGGAGTAGCTTCAGTGGCAAATAAGAGTAGTGAGAGCCGCTTTAGATAGTTTGATCACTTAAAACATTGGTCTTCCGATGACCCGTTAAGGTGAGTAGATGTATTAGATTTAAATTAAAATTTGACTCTTAATATGACACAATGGAGAAAAAGGATTCATGTAGCCAACCCCATGTTTTGAGATAAAGGCTTGATGATATTGATGTTATTGTCAATGTAGAGAATGCTGAATTTATTTTTAATTTTTCCATGTTCTAATGGTGATTGTGCCTATATGGTTTTCCAGTTCATTGCTGATTAGTTTTCAAGGCCTCCATATTTTGATGGACCAGCTTCGTTTCTGTTCATTTGTAAACCATACACGTTAGAAAACAATTGATATTGATATGTTACTACAGAATTATGAGGTCCAACCTTGACTTTAGGATTTGTGTGTCCATAATATTCATGCAACAAGGGTAAGATAGAACCATAGTACTTCTATATCTTGACCATTGGATCACTTCTGAATGTTTGAAGGCCCTTCCATCAAATCCATAAACTCAAGCCTACATTTTGAGATGTCAATTGGGATCCAATAAACTAGCTCAAATTACTCACAATTCCAATCTCAAGGCCATATTACAACTTAATTTAAATTTCTAGTAGCATAAATCCGAAGGGCTATAGGTCTCGTCTATCATTCCATCAACTTTAGGGGAATAATGGTCTAACATAGATTTCAAAGATGAAGTGTCTCCCTTCTCAATCCTTTGGTCAATTGAAAGACGAAAATACTTATAGACGGGTCTCATGTTTTCATCATTTGTACCACAAAAGTATTAAATTACTTCTCACCTTCACCTCTACCTCTATAAATATCCCTTTCCAAGGAGAAGATTGAGGACTATATGTTGGGTGAGGGTACACTAAGAGAAGGGTGATCTAGGTATGTGATGTGCATGTTAAAAATTCTTTTCAAATTCACTAATTCAAACTCCACACAATTATACAGATAAAGCTAAATGAATTTGACAATAAGAACTGAATATGTTAAAGCAATGTACTATACAAGGCTACTTAGTTGTATGGTTACATGAATAAGCAAGATGTATATTTATGATGTAACTTGCTAGCTCAAACAAAGTAGATTTACCCAACAACAAACAAGATATGTCAATTAAGTCACTTAACAACAAAGTTGCGAACACAAGTGATAAATATAAATATTGATGATACATAAAATGATTATATTAGCACGATAACTTTTTATTAATGTATGCACTTATGTAAATTAAACTCTACAAAACTAAGCATATGAACATGGTGCGAATGAGGCGAAGGTGAGGAGCAACGAATAGTAGAGAAGGGGTAAAGAAAAGTTCAAAAATTTATTAAAAATATAATATAATTAATAATTAATTAAATACTTAATTAATTGGTAATTAATTTAAGTTTTAATTATATTATTTATTTGGTAACCATAATTAAAATTACTAATTATAAATATAATAAACAACCCCCTAAAAGTTGTCGAGAGTTCAGAAAATATAATTTTTATTATTAAAGAAATTATGTATAATTGCTAAAACTAAAAATATATATATAATTTTTTATTAAAGAAAAGCTTAATAAAATTTTTTACAAAAATTATATTTATGCAATATTTTAATTAAAAAAGACTAAATTATCCTCCCCATCAACTCTACCATTAGATGTAGGACTAAAAAAATCCCATTTGGAGGAGCTGAGGGACCAAATTAGTTCTTCAAAATAGTTGGGGACTATTTTGGTCCCTCACAAAGAGTTGATGGACCATTTTGGTCTTTTTCTCTTAAGAAATGTATGAATAAATGTGTTAAGTGCTTAATTAATAAGAAGAGATTCATAATAATTTGTGTAAAAATAATAAAATATAAAAGAATTGTTTTGGTTAATGCTATAAAACATAACAAAAAATAAATAAATAAATAACGTGAGGCAATGGAAATCCGGTTACAATTTTTCTTTGTAACCTAGATCAATCCTGTCGTTTTTGGTAGAAAGCTGCTGCTAATTACTTTGCTGAAAGCTGGGTGAATAGCTTCTTCAGCAACTGCTATTACAGAGATAATTAATACTAGCAATCGTTTAATAATTTAACTTTGCAATGTCACATAATTGAAAACTAATATATGATTTTTCAGAAAAAAAAAGAAAAAAAAAAGAAAAAATAATTGAAATTCAAGTAAATATAGAAAATTGAAAACACATTGAAATTGAAATATGATTTTTGCAAAAAAATTTTATGCAAAATTCAAGTAATATTTAATGAATAAAAAGATTTTTTGGCTATTTTTGGATGCTCTAATTGATTAGTATGTTGGATTCTTTGAGTTTAAAACTTTAAATAGAGTAAATATGTTAAGTTGTGCAACTGACTGTCCGATGATTGTAACATGATGATTATGAGTTATTTAGCTATTTTAATGTTAGTATGCATTATTTTGAGGCTTTGATAATGCTCAAAGCCAATCAATACATTGAATCTAAAAGCACCTTATGAATAAATACGCATAACCTTTGGTGTTATTCTTGATGACATACCCACTTGATCCTTCATGTCAGTTCACCTTAATGTCCATCTCCGAGAGGAAAACGCTCCATACATTCATAATCATTATCTTAATGATTGTTATGAATTAATAAATTCCTAGAGAACACTTATTAAAGTATTATACTACATCACATAAGGTTTTTTATCATCAAATCAAATACTGAGATACACATAGTTGTATACTCAACACTATAGTCACTCTCTACCACAGGAGGGAAAAGGGCTACACTTTGAAAGCCCTCTTTCTTTATCCAATTGGAGAAATTTTGTTGAATCAGTTTCAGATTTTATTCATCTTCAAACTTAATTATTGGCTCAGAATATTAGACAACATCAAAATAGAAAGAAAAAATGTTTAATCATGAACTTGAGTCTTATAGGGTCTTCTCAAGGACAAAGTCGTCGAGTTGACTTGTTGACCTTGATTTACTGATTCTGTCAACATTTAGCTCAAGACTCCCGTCAACCTAAATTATACTGTCATTTAAAGATTTTTTTCAACTTGCAACAGTTTGGCACCGTCAATAGTTTTCCATTTCCAACAATTGGTGTATCCTAAACAATTGGAGGCACATCTCTGTGAAAATTATTCGTATTTCACTAATCATGGACATCAGAAAATTGTTGAACTGTCAAGTATTGGTGGACAACCAAAAGTCTTGCATTTTATGGGGGGGCATCATTACACGGTGATGTCAATGTCGACATCAATTTTCGTATGTCATCAAATATATGATTTGCACAACTTCGATTCACACTCCTCAGCCCCGTCATTTCTTGTGCGTCTTTATGTAGTTTTGATGCTCGCTTCCCAGTTGTTATTAACTCATATTTCTTTTTACTCAACTTGAATGATCGCTCCTTAGCTATCATTATCACATGGGCCTATTTGTAAAGCTTTAGTGTCCACTTTTTGACCTACATTAGCTGGCATTGCAGGCACCTTTACATAGCTTTGATACCCACTCTTAAATTTCCATCGTCACTTACATCTTTATGCCTCACCAATGCTCAATTTTCAATTGGAATCTTCTCCAGCATACGATCCACATTAGATGTCGTAGAGAGCAGCTCTCAAATGGTGAGCTTTGGGAGGGTACTTGAATAAGCTTGATCTTCATTTTCTCAGAAGTACTCGGAATGACAGTCGATGAGTGAGCCCCAAATGCCAACTAGTGTTAAATAAGATGTAACAACATTTCCTTTTACAAGTGCAAGAACACAACTCCAACAATTTGGACTTTCTAACATCTCAAAAAGAGATGAGAGAAGCTTCATCTTTCCCAAAAATACACATTATTTGCAAAGGCAAATGACAAGCTTGACTCTTCATATAGTTTCATGACTTAAGCTTGCCATGTTGCCCACGATTTTACATATGGCTACAATGGCACTTCTCAACAAGTAGAGATTTTTATGCCTTCGTATATATCTTTGTTGTCTAAATTGGTTTCATTACTCGTACCTCTTTTTCAACTTTGTTTGTCAAGTTGCTTGTATCTCAACAAACAACTCTGACAACCACTCCTTAATTTTCCACACCATCGGCTCTATTATTATGGCATATGCCATTTGTGTAGTTAACAAAAGTTTATCACATTCATAAAACTTTTAACGCACATAAAGAATTGGGGGTAATCAAGGATACAACCTTCAGCACAAAGGAATGTCAAACAAGCCAAGATGGATGCTTTGATTTAAATTCAACAATTACATATCACATTGTAATTTAGAATCCCTTATATATTGCAGCCCTGATAGGATGCTTGCATTGATGTGTAGGATGTAATTTTTTTTAAAGGGAATCTCAAACGAACCACATTTCTTCTAATGCCTCTCACAATATAAGGT